AAACCCTGGAACTTCCAAGGTCCCATTTGCCCATATGTGGACAACTACTACTCATACTGCTGTCTCTATTGATTTGCATTTTCTAGGCATTTCATATAACTGGAATCATACATTATATGGCATTTTATGTCTAGTTCCTTTTATGTGGCATAATTTTTCCAAGATCTATCCATGTTGTAAGATGTGTCAGTACTACATTTTTTTTAATGGCTGAATAATATTCCATTGTTGGATTTATCACATTCTATTTAACCATTCATGAGTTACTAGACACTTGGGTAATTTTTACTTATTGACTTATAAGCAATGCTTCTATGAACATTATGTACAAGTTTTTGTGTGACTATATGTTTTCAATTCTCTGGGTCATATGACAACTTTATATTTAACCATATGAAAAGTTTTATTTTCTACAGTAGCTGAATCACTCCACATTTCCACTAGCAATGTATTGTTGTTGTTGTTATGTGCTGTCAAGTTGATTCCGACCCATAGCAACCCCTAGGTTTCCAAGGAACGGCTGGTGAGCATGAACCACCGACTTTGCAGTCCAGCGCATGAAACAAACCACAGTGACACACAAGGACTCCAGCAACGTATAAAGCTAATTTCTCCACGACATTGCCAAGACTTGTCTGTATTACAGAATCGCCGTGAGTCAGAATCGACTCTGGCAGTGGGTCTGGTTTTTACAAAATGACTAATGGTGCTCAGCATCTCTTCATGTACTTATTAGCCATTTGTGTGTGTGTGTGTGTGTGTGTGTGTGTGTGTGTGTATATACATATCCATGTGTGATTGTACAAAATGACTAATGGTGCTCAGCATCTCTTCATGTACTTATTAGCCATTTGTGTGTGTGTGTGTGTGTGTGTGTGTGTGTGTGTATATATATATATACACATACATACATACATATATATTAAAGGCCTGCTCCCAATACTTTGCCCATTTTAAAATAGGGATTTTGTCTTTTTATTATGGATTTGTCAGAATTCTTTATAAATTCTGGATACTAGACCTTTTTCCCTTTTGAAGGCAAGTAGGTTCCAACTTGCATCAACATCATTCTGCAAATGGAGACAAAAAAAGTGTGAAAAAACTTTTCAGGAATTCTATCTTTGAATTCCAAGTTCTTCTCCCATAATCTGATCACTAGCTTAATAAACCACCCTAAGACATAAATGCATTTATCAAATGTGGGTAACTTGAATCCTGTTCCTAGTTTTCAATTAAGACTTACTAAATTTTGCCTTGGTAACAGGAATTAATAGGTTCTCTAAGTGTTAATGGAGTTTGAGCTATTTTTATATCTGATTAAAAGTTTTGTGATTCTACACATCAACCTAAATTACTCCATTTAATGAAAGTGATTCTTAAGGAGCATTTGGTTTTAATGTGTCAACAAAGGCTAAGTGTAACACTTATCCACCCAGGGCAGAAACTGTTACTTTAAAAAGGCATTCAAGATGTTAAAGTCCTCTAAGTAACTAAAATATTCACAACTCCACCCCAAATTCCAGGTGAGAACTGCTTCCACAGCAGTAATACCTAACATTTGTTGAGCCCTTTCTCTGCTCCAGGCATTTTTCTGTGCACTGTATATGCAAAAACCCTTTGATGGAAGTACTATTATTGTTCATAATTTAAAGATAAGAAAACTGAGGCACAAAGAAATTAAGCCATTTTACCACTGTCATTATCGCTAGGTAGGACAAGTCACAATTCAAACTCGGGTAGTTGGGCCACAAAGGCTGAACTTTGCATCAGTAGTACACTGCCTC